GAGAGAGAGAGAGATATTGACAGATTTTTAATTCCTTTCTATTATCTTATAAAAAAAGTTGTCTTTTTTTTATTCTCCTTTCATGACAGATTAATGAATTGTGGTTGTTCGCTCGATCGTGTCTTGCTCAGCCTTAGATATTTCCGAGTAACAACATAAGACAGTTACGCGCAGAAACGTGCCAAACGATCGTGGGATCGAGCGTAATTCACCGAAACTCCATTTCCTGGTGTCGTTAACTTGAAATTCATTTGTGACACGCATTTTTACGTCGGCCCGAGCAAAAGACCGAGTATCTGGTATCTTTTGTAATCCTTTTGCACGAGATCGAGCGGAGCGAAACCGGCGGGTAACTCCCTTTCTCCCGCGTGCTGTAGATTTTTTTATCCGACTTGGTCTCGTGCCGCAGCGAAAGGAAAGGTCCGAAGCATGTAGATTTATAGTATCGCGCTAATAGTACCTTAGGCCGAGGCGCTCTCAAATCACCTACGCCTTTAACTCCGAACCAATTAGCGTGAATGAGATTCCAGATAGATAGATAGGGAACGTGCGTCAACGGGGGAGATTTTCTTCTGTCGTAAACATGTGTATTTATGCGTACCAAATCTGTGGATTACTTACTACTCCCCGCTGGATATCTCCGCGTTCGAAAAGAAATTCTTTGTACATGAAAAGGACAAGTTTGCCGTAGTCGTGTATCTGAAAATTTGGCCAAACACAAGTTTGAAAAATAATTTTGTTGGAGTATCAAAATGTTTAGGACGTTTAAATGATAATACTGCGAATATCTTTTTATTCTAGCAATTAATTTGAACAATTGGAAAAAAACAATTTTACCGTTTTAGAATCTAAAAAAGCCAGGTCTGAAAAATAATTTTGTCAGATCGTCAAAATTGTTACGTAGAACATTTAACTATAATAATTATTACAATAGTGTAATTTTTTTTTTTTACATTTTAGTAATTAATTAAAAGGTCCTATATAATTAGTTTGATGGCCCAACCAAATTGGCTTTCAGATTTATATCCAGCAAAATCATTCCTTCCGTGATGATAATAACACGCGTAAAACAACACGTTCTGCGTTGATGCGGAATGTTTCTTTTGAACAAAGATCGATATTTACTTCACGCTTGACTCTTTAGGTGCATAAGAAGTGGCGCATGATTATTCACGACGAAAGAAGTGTCTCGATTATGAGAAATACTCCGTTGGGTCCGCGAAAAAGGAGGAAAAGGAATACTCCGGCGACTGATAACACCTATCCACCCTAGATTCCGCTTAAGCGCGCGGAGGCCGGCGGAGGCTGGTGCCGGACCCAGACATTTCTCATTGTGTGCACGTACGCGCATTTATCTTTTATCGACGGGAATTCTTTTTTTCCTCCTCGTACGTTCTCGCGCGTTTACTGTAGGAAAATATCCGCGAGAGTGAATGACCACGCCCGGCATACCGCGTCAGATCGAGCTCTAAGCGCGCATAATCGCGACGTAAGGAGCTCCCCATTTGCGAATCGGCAATATATTTATTGCCCTCGAGATCCGGCTCTAGGCGTGACACAACGTTCCAAGAGGAACGACATTAAGTCTCTCGTCTCGCGATTGCATCCGCGGACAAAAATTGGCGAACGTCGCGCTTTAATCCGCGCGAAATTCGCCATGTGTGTATGGCGATAAATTTATTTATTACACTGCGCTCGCGATTCGAGGAGATCAGAGATATGTATCTCCGCGTCGTAGAGAAAGAGAGAGAGAGAGAGAGAGAGAGAGAGAGAGAGAGAGAGAGAGAGAGAGAGAGAGAGAGAGAGAGTACGAG